ATCTGTGACACACAATGGCTAGAGGCGTCGCCTGAGTACATTCTTTCATATATTTATGTATGTGCCAGTTTTACCGTTATATATTTTTTATCTACTCGTTTATTCCATGGGGTCTTCATGCTTTATTTAAATTTAAAAAAATAAATAAATTACTATACCGTTTTAAAAATCTGAAAATTCACTGCGGAAAATTTTTTTATTCTCTTTTTGTCTTCGCATTCTCGTTTTTGCCTTTATAAGTTTTGAAAAAAGGTTTTGAACGAACCCTATCACATTCCTAGGAAAGTTTTGAAAGAATATTTTCGATACTAAATTTTATTAAAACAAAATGTCGAATTCAGGTGCATATAGAAACAGTGTCATCGTTAATTAAGAAAGAGATTTTCTTAAATATCATAACTTTACGACACTCACATATTGAGTAGATTTGACTATTTATTTTATTATATTTTAATTTGAATTATTTGTTTACAAAAATATAGTTTACTCCTTAACAAACACTAAATGAAAATAAGTTTAATCTTTGATCAACATTAAAAAAATCGACAAACTTTCGTAAAAATTTCGAACTTTCTATTTAAATTTTATGTCTTAATATTTTGCTGTTTTTTAGCTCATTCAATTTTAGTCTAATAAAGTGCAAATTTAAAGTAGCTGTGAGTTACAGTTCATGTATGGCATATTTTTGACGATGCCGGTAATTTTCTTCAATATTATCTAAGTATGTTCAACGATTTTTTTAATGAAGAAAATGAGCAACGCCTTCATCAAAAAAAAAAATATGAAAAATCAACGATAAGTCGCAGCTATGTATTTTAAACTTGCGCTTTATTTGAATTGATCGGGCTACAAAACTGCATACTCAAAATATGTATTTCTAGGAAATCTAATTAAAAAGCTTTACGAAAGATTGTTGATTTTTTTAATGTTGCGAAAAGATTAAACTTTGGATTTATACGGGTTTTGTTAAAGTGTGCATTTTTATAAACAAATAACTAAAATTATATAATTTTAAGATAAATGGCGAATCTATTTAACATGTATAAAGTTTTGATAAGCACTTGAAATGTCAAGTTTTAGTACTGAATTCAAAGAAGATGTCTCTTTTATCCATTCATAATAACTTAAAAATATTTGTTTGTTAGGAAGTGTATCTTAAAATATCTGCCTTGACATTTATGTTAAAAGTGTAAAATACATATGTAAATGCACCTACATAAACTTTCCCGTGAATACCATCAAATCATTGGTCTTGAAGGGAATCTATGCATGCATGCATGCATATGAGCAAATTAAAAAGTCGATACAATTTACAGTCGAAAAGTACAGTTTTTGTATAGATTTCGTACTGAAGGAACAATTTTATTTCCCAACACTGTGGGGAACTAAGCAAAATGGCCTAGTGTATTTCGCAAATATTCAAATATAGCATTTTCAGTTTAAATGGAACTTTTTTCAAATTAAGGCACTGGGCACATTACGCGCCTAATCAAAGTAGAGTAATCGTTTCGTCATGCCGAAACGAATGCATGACGACTCGACTTCTGTACACTTGCACGCCGGGCATAAGTCACCAGCTAATAAACACTTTATACACATAACAAATTTTCTGGCCGTTCTTTCGCAACTACGCACTTCCGCAAATATTTCTGCTCCGAAATATTGCATAAACGCTTGTGGTTTAATACAATTTGCACGAATTTTAGCACGAAATCATTCATTTTCTATTGAATTGACAAATAAATTTTATTTCCAACACAAAAAAGTAAACAAATGATGATTTCAAAACTACAAGCGCCTTACAATGTTGGGCGCTTCGATTCATGAAGCTTCTATGTTTAGGCGAAAACAAGATTTTGAATCGTAATGTACAGAGCTTCATTGAAACACATGTGTTCGGCATAAAAGCTTTATACTTTAGTATGCCGAAACGATTACACTACTATGATTAGGAGCTTAATGTGCGGAGTGCCTAAATGAAACCTTTTTCAGGTTAAGCGAAATCTTTTTCAAATTAAATGAAACCTTTTTCGGATTCAATGAAACTTTATTCAAATTAAATGAAACCTTTTTCGGATTCAATGAAACTTTATTCAAACCAAATGAAACTTTTTTCAAATTAACCGAAACTTTGTTCAAATTAAGTATTAAACATTTTTAAATTAAGGAACAGGAAATCAACTTAACCTATTAAGAGCCGTTTGCACCATGTCTGGCTAACCCTAAAGGCTCTGTTATGCATACTTGGCATTGCTTGAGAGTTGTCACATAAGGAATCTGTTAAATGAGCTTCGCGTGTAAGCTGTTACCCAACGCACAGCATTACATACGTAGAAGTCTGTTGGTTTTTGATTTCTACGTAAAAACACGTACGTAACAGAGCCTTAACTCCCAGTTACCCATCGTTATCGACGCCATATCAGGGAGTCGATATCGCCGATTATGATGTTTAACTGGGAGAATATTTTTACTGTTGCTACACGATTCAAAGCTGTCAACTATTATTTTCTTAAGGGAGAAGAGGGAAATAAAGTACAGTCCCTTTTCACTCCCTCGCTTAAGCGAAATGTAAAATTTGGCATTTGCATAACAATTGTCTAATTATTTTCTTCTAACTTAAACAAACTCTATGGATTAGAGCACAGTCTAATCACGGCAACATTCAACTTCGGTTCAAGAATAATTTTGACATGTCCCATTTCTCTTTTCCTTTTCACATCATCCTTTACATGTACTCCCGAAAACAGAGATATTTGAAGTTTTATAAAATGAATACATTATATGATTTGTCTAGTTACCAAAACCCCTCGAAAATCACAACAAACCAACCAACCTACCAAAGCCTTATTTTAAGAAATGAAACTACCAATTTTGGTCCAATTGGGCTGAAACGGCAACACTGTATTCAACATGCCTTGACCGTAAGGGAGAGCAACACGTAACAGCTAATTAAAAGTAATCCAAAAAAGAACTTTCATTTCATTCGAATAAAGTTTCATTTAATTTGAAAAAAGTTTCATTTAGTTTGAATAAAGTTTCATTGAATCTGAAAACGGTCTCATTTAATTTGAATAAAGTTTCACTGAATCTGAAATAGGTTTCATTAAATTTGAAAAAGGTTTCGCTTAACCTGAAAAAGGTTTCATTTAATTTGAAAAAGGTTTCGCTTAATTTGAAAATGGTTTCATTTAAACTGAAAATGCTATATTATATTATATATTCAAACTTGTTGTACACACTTCTACCATATATTTCAATACCTTTCTTGATTGTAAGACCCTTATACATGTCCCATTTAGTAAAAATATTGTTATACCAGTAATAAAATATTTTTATTAAAAATAAAGCAAAGTAAAAAATTTACATGCAAATTCATTTAACTCCCAAAGTGCCTTGTTTATAATTATATTACAAACATAATATACATGACTAGTTGTGATAACTTGTGAATCACCCAATTGTTGTATAAAAACAAAACAACTTAAATCGAAAAAATGAGATCTGCCAAACAGGTACTATCATCGCCCGAAAACAAAATATATATATATATCTATATGGTTATAATAAGAGGTAAGCAACGTTTTGACCAGTTTTGACTGCTTTTATTTTGTTTATTAAATGCTTTTTTTATAAATATCTACCTCATTATAAAGAAAACACTACATAAATCCAGATTTCAAAGTTTGTAGAAAAATTAAAAAAAAAGCTCAACAAATTTCCACAAAAATCCGTTCGTTGAGAATCTTTAGAAAAATTCTAAGTAGTTTATAGCCCTTCAAGTTTGTGTATAATAAAGTGCAAGTTTGAAGGTGCTTAAAAATTTATGGAAGCAAAAACTAACAGTCAGCAAAGAAAAAAGCTTCAGAAATCAATGGGATTTAATAAGCATCTTCAATCTTGCACTTTATTATACAAAAACTTGATGGGCTATAAATTACTTAGAATTTTTCTAACAATTCTCAACGAACGGATTTTTGTGAAAATTTGTTCAACTTTTTAATTTTTCTACAAACTATATTCAACAATTTATATTGAGCTCGAGGCCGTTTTAAATGAAAATTTTTATTGTGGAAAAGCAACAATAATTTGAAAAAATGGTAGAAGTGATAGCTATTTCGGAAATCACCACATTTCCTCATCAGACTTCTTTCAGTAGGATTCGAACCGACGATCCCACTGACTACGCCTTGTAAATTATCGTTTGCTTTTTTCCACTATTTTCATTTTTGTTATGCCAACACAATCAAGCGCAGCTATTCCGCTGCAATTCACTTGATCAAAACTTTTAGATCTGGATTTATGTACTAGATTTAAAAAAAAAAAAGTTTTTATAAAAAAAAGCATTTAATAAACAAAATAAAAGTAGTCAAAACTGGTCAAAATACTGTGTATCTATTATTATGACCAAGGGTGTAGATACGTACAAGAACAATCCAGTTTTTAATATGCATACAGTCACTTACACATGTAATATACAAAACAATATTTAATCATTTTTATAATTTTTAAAGTTAGGATTTTTTACAAAGGTTTGATAAGCAACATACAAATTTTGGAAATCATTGGCATTTTAAATCTAGCTTTGTGTATGTAAGTAATTTTATTTAGATAGATAGATGCATACAGAAAGTTTAACCTAAGTCATTTATAGTATTGTCAATATACCATTATTTGTTATTTACTATTGTTAAAAATGTTGCTTATTAAACCTCTGTACACAACCTATAAGCTAACAATTATACAAGTGATTTAATATTGTTTTCTATTTAAAGATGCCTTCACACGGGTCGATTTTCGTCGGCTGGAAATTCGGCTAGCCAAAAAATTTACATTTTACAGTTTCATTGCCATTGGGTCTATTTCGGATGAACGACAAAAAAATGACTAGAAAATCGACCCGTGTAAAGGTATCTTAACGTGCAATGATGTAATAAATAATTATTTTAAATATATACAAACCTAAAACAAGCATTCTAATGCACTTCAATTTCAATATTTGGATTATGTTTGAATTAAACTAAACTTATATAGGTATCTAATGTAAAATATACATTAGCATCAAGATGAATCGTGACCTGCAAAAAAAAAATATATATATATAGTAATCTACATACATAAAAAAAACTGCAGTAATACTTAATAAGTTATGTGATACATAGAGATTGAGCTTACCTTCCTATTCTTCGTGCTCCAATTTAAAAGTTATTATGTCATTTGTCACGATTTGTATGGCCTTTGCTTCTTTCGCCGGGCTCATTTCGCTGACAGTGGACACAATCATTTGCCCAAATGCAAGTAGGGTGTCACTACCTTTTTGGGCAGCGCGCTCTTCGCATAGATCCTTGTACATTTTACATACCTCCCGAAACTCTCCATCTGCATCATTTTCTTGTCGTTTTCTTTTCTTCTGAGAAGTTTTCGGGGTTGATTGTCCACAAGCAAACTCCTCCGTAAATAACGGCGACTCCTCGAAGTCAGAAGAATCTGTCAGCACAGACGACTCCGACACCGAAAATTTGGCGAAGACGGATATTCTCCATACTCGTCCAAAATATCTGCTGTGCACCGAGTTCCAGAAATTAAATTAATAATAAACACTAAGTACATATATTAAATTTTAAAATACTAACGGTCTTGGCTTAACAAACTCTTTCAGGAAGCTCATATTTTCAATTAGAGGCCAGTGGTCCATCAGGACCGCCGCACTTCCCGATGGTGCATCCAATTTCCTCAGTTCACGGGAATATTTATCGCGCAATGTCTGCCACATTAACACATTATTCCTCTAGGATTATTATATAGTATTTTAGTTAAAACATGCACATAAAAACCATTTTACCAACCTGTTGCTCCCAATTCTCGTGCGATGCTTGTCCACACCGCCCTCTTCCTCTCGGGCAATCTATAAGAAATACAAGATTTCTTGTAAATGGCTTCATTTGTCTGCACTAAATCCATCAGCCTCTCGTCGTCAACCATTCTGAAATAAAAGAAAAACAATTCGATTATAATTTAGTATTTTTCACAAATAATTTCATACTTACATTTGCCGGCTTCTTTTCCCGCTTTCCAAATGTCAAATCTCTGCATAAATGACAAATGTGGCAGCTCTCTTTGCAAACGTCACATAGCGAAAAATCAAAATTCTCCAGAAATCGGCTAAGCGGTTTCGGAGATTAGCGTAAACGAACACAGTAACATGGGATTTTTATATGCATATTAAGATAGGCACGTTGCGAGGTGCATAGAAAAAAGTATATATATATTTTTCTCGAGTTCCTATCTTTTAAGTTGAAACCAACAATGCATACCCACTAAATTTCGTTGAGATCGGCTAAGCGGTTTCGGAGATTAGCGTAAACGAACACAGTGGCACGGGATTTTTATATATTAAGATAAGCACGTTGCGAGGAGCATAGAAAAAATGTCGACGAAAAAAGAATATCTTTTCTCGGGTTGAAAACTATCTTATCTATCCTACCTATCGGGTTTAAAACTATCCTATCTTTTAAATGGAATCAACAATACACACCCGAAAAATTTCGTTGAGATCGGCTGAGCGGTTTCGGAGATTAGCGTAAACGAACACAGCGGCACGGGATTTTTATATATTAAGATAAGCACGTTGCGAGGAGGATAGAAGAAATGTCGATGAAAAAAAATATTTTTTCACGAGTTCAAAACTATCCTTCCATTCCATTTAAATCGGTGTACTGTTGCACCTGGACAGGCTCACAAATATGCACTACCCCATGTAGCTCACATTTTTGACGCATATAAAATGATATTCTCTCATACCTGGTCATTTCTTCCTGCCATAGCTTTCAACTTTGCTGTTCCATTTCTTACTACATTCATTTCCGGCTGATTCCTACCATAGATTTGTTAACCAAACCCTTAACCCTTAAAATGGACTTTATTTTATTTTTTGTCTTTGATTAAACACAGCTGCGATAAGTGTCAAACAAACTTTGAAAGCTACTATCGATAGATTGTCACTTGACCACATGCTCTTACTGACCCTTTAAAAGGGTGAGTTCCGGTCAAGATCTTTCTTCTTTTTCCTGATGACATCAACCAGTCCAGATTGCGCCGCGCTTAGTATTGTTTAGCTACATTTAGACATAGCGTAAAGTTTTGCTTTATTGTTAAAACGCGTAATAAATTTGCCGTCAACTCGGCTTTAAGCATTTTTTTTAGAGTAAAATCAGTGCGTGACTTCGAAACCCTTAATACGGAGGCTGATGCAGCGGGAAAACGCCTTGGAGCTTTGCTGGTAGCTCGAGTGCACCTATCCACCCGCATCTTCGAGAACATCTTCGAGTCCGCTGTAATCTTCACCAGGAGAAGCTATTCATTTAATCGCAGTATCCACCAGGCGGTTCAGAGACAATCCGCTCCAGAAATTTCATCGTCAGCACCTCAGGGTCCTCATTGGTTTTTCTGTTAGTCAGCGTCCCGCCTTAGATGTAAAACTTTTATGAAAACCTAAGTATCACTTAATCGTAAAGATTACACAGCTCCAAAGACGCTTACCGCTTACTCAGAGTTTAATCATTTGATTGGAAGACAACAATTCGAGCTCAATTATAGAGTACGAGCACCCTGTAAACTAGGATTATATCCGAGAGTAAAATTCGCAAATAATTGTTAATCTGAATCTTGATCACGTAAAAACTGATAGCACAGCAGTATAACCCAGATCGATAGTTTTGTCGCAAAAGTTCGGTATATATTGTTATAAATTATTAACTGAAACTAAGAACAAAATGTAAAACCGAAAAATCAACTTAAGAATTTACTTTAATCTAAATTTATGCGATCGCCCATACATATGTACGTATAAGTAGAAAAGGAAGGGAAGGGAAGGGAATCCAGAAGCATGTGTAAAACTGCATAATGATCATGTGCACCTTGAAGTGAAATCACATGGATTCCTCAGCCTTAGTTAATATTGCAAGAGAATGATAACGACGACTAAACAAGAGCAACTTAATTTACAGACAAATATTTGTCATACTAAATGATTTTAAGAGAGAGAAAGAGCAGCACGCTAGTTTCACCTTATTAACATATTTTCATTTCCATTTAATGCGCTCTCTTTAGCTTCACTAATTACTGCATTAGTCCTCTGTTGCTTTACAAGTACAGCTACTGTACGAATATATGAAACCACCACAGACTTTGTACTTTTTTTGTTTGTTTTTTTTTTCATTGGCAAGAAGCACATTGTTAATATTTCCATGAAAAACACTTAAGGAGCATGAACAACCGAGTAGGCGATCAAGCAAGTTAAAATAGGGAAAATGAAAGCAAATTTTAGAGCAACATATATTTTTTAGAGAGAGCGGCGACGCATGGACACAGCAATACGGAGGAGGCCTTCGACGCATCGTGGGAGAACCATATAAAACAACTTGCCAAGTAAGTTATTGTTGCTATATTTTGTTATTCCTTATCTGCTTTCCTTCTCCCTCGCTATTTAAGTTGTTGCTAGTTAAGTCAATTACTTTTTCCTTAGGTTGATCACTTGATTTATAGTATATAACCACCACTAGAAGCCACAAACAGTCTGTTCCTATCGACTAGGAGTGTGGATTAATAGCGGCCAGTCAAACAGAGCCCATAACAGAAAATGGCGCCCAACGTGGGGCCCGACACGATGGAAGATTGCTTTTTGGCGCTTCATCAACTCGTGACTCCATTGTTAAGATTCCCCCTTGGAATCGATATGTCCGTCCAATTCGTGGGAAATAAGAAGCACGTATGAGTTTTGGAATTGCAGATAAACTAAGTTAAATGCTTTTACATCTGACCATATATACGTATATAATTGCTTTTTGTGTTAACGCTTTCGTTACTATAACCGATTTTATCAAGAGTTTAATTAAGCCGCAGAGCAGTGCGTTTTCTTTTGTACCTGTTGAAAATTAAATTTAGTTACATATTTATACATATGTACATTAGAGTGGTCCAAAATAATAAAGTCGGAATTTTCATGCCGCCACCCCCTAGGATTGTTCTGAACTGAAAATAAATAAATATACCCATATTTTTTTATTTTGAAATCAAAAAATATTTAGGGAGTGCTCACAGCGCTCAAAGTTTTCCCTGTATTTTATATGGGGAAAAAACAAATTTTCGTAAAAATGGCATTAAACTCTTGAAAAACAAAATTTTTCAATCGTAAAACTGTAGTTCTCTTCAGGAGACTTCAAATATTGATATCCAATTGTTTATTTAACCATTTTTTATTATTAAAGATTTTTTATGGGTCCCCCATTGCATTTTCAAGGACCCATAAAATGTAGTCACCATGAAAAAATTGTTAAAGGAACAATTGGGTATTATTACTGGGAATCTCCTGAAGATAAGCAAAGTTTTCCGATCGAAAAATATTGATTTTCAAGAATTCTACACTATTTCTACGAAAAGTTGTTTTTCCCCATATAAAATACATTGAAAACTTTGAGCGCTTTGAGCACACCCTATTTTTTTTTTTCAAAATAAAAAATAGGGGTATAATTTTTTTTGGTATAGAACAATCCTAGGGGCTGGCGGCATTAAAAATGCGACCTTATTTTTTTTACATACATTTTTGGACCACTTTAATGTACATACATACATCTGCAGATGCGAATATGCTTTGTTGCTTACTATTGTTCTCTTCTACTTACATTTGTATGTATGTATGTATTTACTTTCAACCTATGTACATAAGAAATAAGCTCATAAAATATGAGCAGTTATAACTTTTTGTATATAAGCGGATTAGCCATCCCAGTTAATTCAGTATGTATTAAATCGAAAGCTGAACCTGTCATTGAGTCGGGAAATCATAAATTCGAGTTTTATTTTTTTTCATGGTGCCGAAACCCGGGACAATCGCGATTCTGTAAGCTACAAATTTTAAGCGAACCAAGAATCAGCTAACGAGTGAAACGGTTTAATACCAAGATTAATAGAGCGGTGAATAGCGAGTCCGGTTTAAAGTAAAATGGACGCTGTATATCGAGCCACTTGTCGTACACAAGTTACAAAATTATGCAACGCGATTTCCGATTATTTAAAAACCCTTGATGGCATTACGTTTGAGGATGCAACCGATGCATCCCGAGTAGAGTCGGAATTGAAGGTGTATCTGTTGCGTTTGAAAAATGCTCATGGAAATTTAAAGAAAGCTGATGAAGTTATGCGTGCAAACGTCAAAGATGAGGACATGCAAAGAGAGTGCGAAAACGTCATTGAATATGATGACAAAGCTGTAGCAATGGTGGACGAAATAGAACACATGCTTAGCACCTTCTTCAAGCCTCCTCCTGGAATCCCTAACGAAATTCCAAACGTGTCACGCAGTTCGGTAAACGAAGACAGTCGGGAGTATGTGGGAATAAAATTGAAAACATTCGAAATCAAGAAATTTGATGGCAAATTTGAGAATTGGCTTCCATTTTGGGAGAGACACGCCGTGCACGAAAATCGAAAGCTTTCATCAGCCTTTAAATTTAATGATTTGAATGAGGCGTTTTTCGGTAAGGCTGCAGAAACCATTGCTGGTTTCACTCCAACTGAGAAATGCTACACAGAGGCCATATCGCTTTTGTTAGAAGAGTATGGCAATACCGAGAAAATAGTAGAAAAGTTCCTACAAAAGCTGATAAACTTAAAGATGGCAGGTACATCAACTGATATATCTGGGCTTCGCCAGTTATACAACGACGTGACTTCCACTATAAGATCCCTTAATGGGCTACAAGTGCCCTCCTCCCGATACGATATAGTGACGAAATCGGTACTCCTTAAGGCGATACCGGCAAGTATGCGAGTGCAGTATCACCGCACCATTGGTAAAGGGTCATTGTTATGCACCTTAACAGAAAATGGTAATAGCACAGAGATTTATAGCTCACAACTTAATCGACAAAGAGAGGAGCCTTTGAAATTCCTTCTTGATTTTATAAAAGTAGAATTGGA